GCCCCCGCCGCCGCCCCCCCCCGCCCCGAGCGGGCCCGGCGGGGCCGCCGGGGGCGGGGCGCGGGCGCGCTGCCGGGGCGGCGGCGGCGGCCGGGCGCGCGGCGCGGCCGACGGCCGTCTAACCTGTTAGGCGGGAGCAGTGGTTAGTCCCGGGCCCTGGTCTGCTACTACGGGGGGCACGTGCCGCGGCGCGTAAGTGCGTGCCGAAGCCGCCTCGGCGGAGAGCGGGAGCGGGAGCGGAGCGAGCGGTCGGGTGGTCTGCTCGTCATCGTCAACGTCAGTCTCGGCGGCTGCGCGCGCCGGGCCGCCGGCGCGCGGGCGCGCCAGCAGGTCGGGTGGCGCGTCTTCGGCGCGCACCACCACCGGCGGCTGCACGACGCGGCGCACGTGCACGCTCCCGTCCGCCGACTCCTCGCACGTCTCGGCCACGTCCTCGCCCGGGGCGAAGCGCTGGCCACGTAGTCGCGGAAGCGCGCGCTCGGCGTCGGCCCGCGGAAGTGACGGCGTGCACCTCGGCCGGCAGCTCCACCGTACGGCGCACCGTGTGCGAGAACTCGGGGTCGGCGCGGCTGGCTCGATCACCTCGGGTGACGAACGCCTGCCCGCCGCCGGGCGCTCCTCGAACCACGCCCCCGCGCGCCCGCCGCGCGCCCACGCGCGCGGCCGCCGCCATCAGCTCGGCGGCGTCGAGCGCGGCGGCGCCGGCGGTCCAGCGGTCCGTCGACGACACCACTGGTGTGGAGCCGCCGCTGGTGAAGCTGGACGACATGACCGAGTCGTCTCGCTACTGGTAGGTGGCGTGCGTGGCGCGAGGAGGGACGGCTCCAAGGAGTCGGTGAGCCCAGCATGGTCGGCGCGGGCGGCGGCTGGGCCGGCCCGCCGGCCGACGTGCCGGCGCGGCCAGTTCCGCGAGGAGCTCCGCGCCCGACGAGCTCAGTCGCCGTCGCGCCCGCTGGAGCTGGAAGCGGTCTCCGGCCCGCGGCTCGCACCGTCCGCCGCTTGCTCTTCTTCCTCCTCGATGGAGTCCGTGGTGCGACGGCTGGGGCGCGGCCGGCCAGTCAACGCGAATCCACAGACGCCGCCCATGATGGCCGTGGCGTCGGGCGGCAGCTCGATGGAATCGCGTGAGCGGTCCAGGCCGAGGAGAGCCCCAGCTGGAACTCGATGGACGCGCGCTGGTGTCATGACGTCGGCCGAGCGGTCGGCCACCGTCTTGAGTCGAAAGCGAGTCGGTGCTGGCGCGCAGGGCGGCGTCGGCGTCGGCGGCGGAGGCGGAGGGCGGCGCGTCCTCCAGCGAGTCGGAGGAGGTGCGCGTGGCGTCGTCGCCGGCGTCGCGCCACGTGTGCGGGGCCGGCGCGGAGAAGTCGGCCAGCACGCGCACCGGCACCACGGGCGCCGCCACCACCGCCGGCGTGGGCGCCGCCGCCTCCAGGCGCTCGTGCGCCTCGGCGAAGCGCTCCACGTTGGACTGCGCCTGGCGGATGATCTCGTCGATCTCGAACATGCGCCGCTCGTAGTCGTCCGAGTCGGCCGACTCGCCGGCCGGGGCGGCGGCGGCCGCGGCGGACATGGTGTCGCAGCTCTCCGACTCCGACACCTGCGCCACCGACACCCCCCACTCAGCCTTCAGGCTCATGGCTTTGGAAACTGTACCTCCATTCATTTTGAGCTGCATTTGACAGGTCGACAGCTGTTACAGTGTCCTCCAATTGAGAGCTCACACGTCACTATGTTTGGACGGCAGCGTAGCAGCTGATTTACGTCAAGTGCAGCTTTGTTTAAATCCAGGTACAGTGGAATTCCAACATTTTTCTATCAAACGTCTTTCAAGACTAAGTAAAGATAATATTAATATACACACAACATTAGAGAAAACTCGTAATTCAGGAAAGGAAAAGAACAGTGGGTAGGAACAACCACTTAACGGGAGACGAGAAAAGAAACGTGAGTGTAGAAAGAGGAGAGAGACAAAACAGGAAAGTAGGAGTTTTCAGAAAGGAGAGAAGAGAGAAATGGAGAGAGAAGAGAAGAGGAAACAAGAAAAAGATTTAAAAATGAAGAGAAAGAGCGAAGGTAGCGAAATAAGGTGGATTGCTCGGAGAGCGAGAGCGAGAGCGCGAGAGAAGAGAGAGAGAGAGAGAGAGAGAGAGAGAGAGAAGAGAGAGAGAAGAGAGAGAGAGAGAGAAAGCAAAAGAAGAGTGAAAATTAAAACGCTCGAAGGCAGGACAATGATAAAGAAAACAGAAAAGGGAAAATAAAGCGGAAAGAGGAGAAATTATAAGAAAGAGGGAAATAGGAACGAGGAGAGGGAATAAGAATGAGGGGAAAGAGATGACAGAGGAGACGGAAGAAGCAAACGAGCGGAAAGGGGGAAAAAGAAAGAGGAAAAAGAGGAATGAGGAGATACAAGAGAGAAAGGAAGAAAGAAGAGGAACATGAAACAAGAAAGGAAAATATAAGAAAGAAGAGGGGAAATGGTAATTAAGAGCAGAGAGTAGGAAGGAGAGGGCACGGAGACGAAACAGGAGAGGCGCCCACCTGGCTCTCGTGGCCCTCCTCGATCTCGGAGAGCAGCGCCTGCTCCTCCTGCAAGGCGCGCGTCTCGATGCGCGCCGCCTCGATGCACGCCGTCTCCAGCCCCTCGAACTCCTTCAGCGACGACAGCGACACGTCGTCGCCCTGGCCCGAGCGGCTGTACAGGTGCGCGCCGGCCGACCCCACGAGCGGGGGCCCGCCGCCGCCTCCGCCGCCGCCGCCGTGGCGGTTGCCGAACGATCCCGAGCTGCCGGAGCCCGAGCCCGCGCTGCGCCCGCCGCTCATGCTGCCCGTGCCGTTGAGCGAGTCCTGCGCACCGCACGCCACACGCCCCCTCAGCACGCGCGCGCACACGGGGACAGGGACACAGGGGGCAAATTGGCAATTTCTTTTCCAAGGGGGCGTTAAAAAGGTTTATGGATTCATTAATTACGACAACTAATTTAGTAAAATCTAATTATTGTAATGCTCTACTAAAGGCAAATTATCAACTTTATTCAATACTGTAATAATTTAAATAAATAAATGTACGTACTGTATTCTTGTATTAACTTTTTATTTGTAACTGCTAGTTGCGTACGGTCCCTAGTGCTTTAAGGAGCGAATGCGACTACAAATAAAAACAAAAACCAAATTAATAGAGGTGTCACTACAAAATCGAGAAATTGCGTTTGATGGACCAACGGACTGACGAGAAAAATGAAGACCACCTCCACCTACGCGACACGGTTTGATGATCCCACGGATTTCGTTACTAACCCACTTTGAGCAATGTAATGCTCTTCTTTGGGAGGCAAATTATGCTTAATATCTCAATATCTATTAAACCTTTAACGAACAAATATTTTTAATACAATTTTGTACTAAGTGTAATGAAATACATATTTATGAAATAATGGTATTGCACATTACGAAGTCCTTTTGCTTCTGAAAATGGATGTCAATAACGCAATCATGATATTGCAAACATGTTAATAGGTTTGCAGGCTGGCTATGCGATCAATGGACGTTAGCTCTGGCCGGGAATTCCGGTGAAGTCATCGAATCGACCGGGAGGGATTCTAGCAATAAGTTTTGTGAGTCAGCGCTTGGGGTGAGTGCAGCGAACACGCTCCTAAATAGGAGCAATCGTCAGGGGAGAGGAAAATAAAGAAATTCTTCTTCAGAAAGAAGACTAACACATTCTCTAAAATAATAATCAATATAGAATTGATACGTTAAGCGCAGAGAATAAAAATCGTAAATAAATATAATGAAATGGCCTACAGATTGCAGTTTAAATTTCCAATAATACTTGAAAAGCAATGTAAATAAGTGATTGAGTAAGAATGTCACTTTCCTCATTACTTAGGCGTGGTTTTAAAGGTGATTCGCATTTACATACACACCGCCACACATACTCAAGATCATTAGTCAACGAGCAAAAAAAATAACAATTTACGACAGCGATCTTCCTAAAAACAAAAATCCATAGATGAGAATGTAAATGAGAAAAAAATTCATTTAAAAAAAGATAACACACGTGAACTACATTTTCTAGTCTTTTAATTCAGGAAATTGTGTGGCTAGATGTGTCACATTTTACTGCATGGGTATTTGGAGGATGTGCGTCAGTGCATTGCATTATCTATTGGATCATTCCTCATTAAGCGGAGAGAGACAATTCCATCAATTATGAGTTCTCTCTAGGAAACGTATACTAGGATCTATGCATAGTTGGTTGCCACAGATGTGTCTCTGAGCATGAATCTTACTTCCGAATTGATCTTTGCTCAGCTACTTCATACCCGGCGGCGAAAGAGCTGACGAAAGCGAGAGCGTGGGAGTACGGTGGGGTTAGGGGGAACTGCAATTTTTTTGTGCAAAGCGTGTGTACACAGTGTACGTATGTGCTGAGTTACATTTTTCTGCGTGGTTATTGTGACGGATGAGTGTGTCTAGAGTTATACAAAGTATCCTTTCGCGTTGTGACCAATGTGTTAACGAGCTTGATTCACCTACATTTTCTCGCTTCAAAAAAGGATTATATACATTGAGAGATACAAGTTCCAAGTTCTTTCCTTCCGGAAACATGTGAGCCTAGCGATGGGATCGTATCTCGTTCATCTCAGTTGCGATGGCGTTGGCGGTGGGCGTTGGTGCAGACGTTGGCAAGGGCGTTGGCGAGGGCGTTGGCGATAGCGTTGGGGCAGGCTTTGGCGAAGGCGTCGGCGAAGACGTTGATAAAAGCTGGCGAAGGTTGTTTGAGACGGCGAAGGCGTTTGAGAAGGCGACGGCGTTGGGAAGGGCGTCGGCGAAGGCGTTGGCGAAGATGTTGGCGTTTGCGAAGGCGTTGGCGTCGGCAAAGGCGTTGACGACGATAGAAGTGGAGGCGAAGGCGTAGGTGAGGGTGTTTGCGAGAGGCAGGGCGTGGCTCACCAGCGATTTCTTTAAATGGCGGAAAATCTTTCCCTTCAAAAGAGGATTATACGATATGTAATACAAGTTTCAAGGCCTTCCCTTCCGGAAGCAGTGTACCTACAGGTGTCGCGTTACGTTTCAGCGTGCGGGTGTGAGTGCCTATCGTCGTCCAACGGCTCCTATCTCGTCGAGCGTCGGTCGGTCGGTCGGGTGGGCGGGCGCGGCTCACCTGCGAGCCGTGCGAGCGCTTGCGCGCGTTCTCGAGCGCCAGCTGCCGCTCGAGCTGCTCGAACTCCTGCAGCGAGCTCATGGAGACGTCGTCGTGCTCGCCCGAGCGCGTGAAGAAGCGCCGGCCCGCCAGCACGTCGTACTCGGGCGTGGACGAGAAGGACTCCTTGACGGAGCCGAAGCTGCCGATGGACGTCTGGTAGGAGCCCATGGAGCCCACGCGGCCGCTGCTCTGGTCGAAGTCGTTGGCCTCCTCTTCCTTGATGTCCTCGAGAGGGCCCCGTTCGAACTCCATGTCGTACCCGTAGGCCAGCGCGGCGGCGTGCTCGGCCTGGAACTGCACCGGGCGCGCCGCTCGTCAACGAGCCACTACTTTCTACGAGATGCAGGACGGAAAAGTTCTACGAATACTGGGTCAAGAAGAGTGTGACTGTTGCAAAATGCAGGAATGTGATTTTAAAGGGACTTCTTTTTTCATGCGTCGACTCTGTACCTTACGCCGCACGTTGGAAATTTCTTCACTGTGCTTACAAGAATAATTCGATAAGTTAGGAGTCCTTTCATTCTACAAACACAATGTCATATCGCAATCCATGTAGTGATTGATGTGCTTTTGGTGTACAAGCAGGGTTCGGGATCAGGGATTGTATAGTGAGTTTTTAGTAACATTTTTGAAATCATTGTAAAATATTTTTCTTAGCATACGATGCACTTTATGAGTTGCGAAGTAATATTATAAATTTAAACTGCAATAATTGTCCATTTGATATAACCAACTTGACTGTTGATGCTGACACTAAATATATTTCGTTAGCCTAATAAAATAATTCTTATCAGTAATACAATGTTAGCTACTAACTAAATTTGTCTGAATTAAATTGAAGATCAAGATGATAGTACAATAAAAATACGTGGAAGCCTTCCACATTAGAAACAAATTCCTTCTATTTTATTAGTACAATAAATTAACGAACGCTGACTGTTTTTTACTATTTATAAAGTGTCATCGGCAAAAGAAGTAAGAGGATTACTGCTGAATAGAGCATTGCCCTCACGGTAATCATGGCCATATTTAAGACGAAATATTTAGAATTTAGTAGATTACACAACGGAGGAAGCAGCGGGTATAGATGAAAACTGCACGACACGTCACATTGTATTCTAGTCAGAAGATATTTTTACTACTAATTCAATGATTTACAAAGGGCGCAATGTTTACGATGGGTTCAACTGATAGATTTGAATAATATGTAATCGTAAAAGAACCAAGTTAACTGATATTTACGACTACAAAATATTCTTGAAATAATTTTGATTTCAAATAAAATGAAGTCTACGTAATGTAATTGATTTCAAAAAATACAAAATCTACCAACGTACGTTTCAGAACCCGCTTGTCAGTTATGGCCACATCGATGTGAGGTGAAAGACAGTAAGCAAGTAATGGGATTCATTACTAGCTGAATATCAATAGCGCATCGAGACATATTACTACGGAGTACTACTAGTCGTTGACAGACTTCGCACAAGGAATCTGGGCACACGGCTGACGTCACAGAAGACTGAGACGGATACGTTAGATGTCGTCTCAAAAACATCGACTTTCCAGCTTTTCGACAGACAACTTCGGTACAAAAAAATTACACTGACCTTTATGAAAGAAGGAAGCCGACAAAAAGAATAACTAACGCAGACGAAACATCTGTTGACGCTTACAATTCCTAACTCATTGCCGCATTAATTAGGCCACTCCATATTTTCTGAACAGTGATAGTATGCACAGATAGAGCTACTGCGCAAGCGCAATGTCTCCCTTATCGTGTGCCTCGCTGGGGCTTCCAGGCAGTATGCTCGTGCCAGTCGTTAGTCAAATATTCGACCTTTTATTACAAATACAGATTAACAATAGATTCTTGTAAACGTGAACGGATTATTTTAATAATTATTTGTAAATCGTTAAAAGAAGTATTGAATAATTGCTCAAGAAAAACAATGTTTACAAATAAATGTAGTTTCTGGCATGATTTTTTCAATTTCATAAGTTGGCAACATTAAATACAAATTAGGTTGACTGATGCACGTACTTTTCTTTCTTTCTGCGTTGAACCTTTTTTCTACATGGTTTACAACGAAAACGAATTATTGTCAAGTAGTAAGTGGGTGTGTATTCTACAAAGTTTTAAGTTAGGGTCGTTTTAATTCATACCTACAGAGAAACAGTAATGACAATATCTGATTGATCCAGCATAACTCCTAGGCCGAGAGAAACTTCCGGTTGCGATGAATGTCGCAGCAGTTTTTTTTTATCTATTACTCCTCAGAATGCCTGATGAAGTATGTTATATTCAATATCACGTGATTCCTAAAGAAATCACTACTTACTGATTAAAAGAAAAGAGTACTTTTCCCGGAAAACTTCTCCAATCACTTAAAAAGACCTACGCCCGCAAGTTTTCCCTTGAGAGTCTATACTAATTTAAACTTACTTTATTAAACAATTATGGCGGTAAGGGTCACATTTTTTCTTCCCGTCGTGAAGAGCAGGGATTTCGCTTTCATTTGATGTACTTTGAGGAAGTATTTTAGCGTGGTGAATCTAACGAACAGAGTACCGTACAGAGCGGTGGCCGAGTGCACAGCCATCTGACGCGGACCCCAAAGCAAAGAGGGGCTCACCTGCATCTCTATCCACTTCTTGCCCGCCTCCACCTCCGGGTCGGGCTCTGGCGGGTGCGTGCGCACGCCCGTGCCTGCGCACGCCGGCCCCGGTGCCGGCGGGCGGAGGCGGCGCCGCGGCCAGCGGCGGGCTGTCTCGAACTCGAAGGGCCCAGAGTGTCGCGCGGGCGGGCGGTCGGGCCCGCGGGGTAGTACTGCACGCGCGTCAGCCGGGTGACGGCTGCGGCGGGGAGGTGGCGACGGCGTCGGCGGCCGCCGCGTCCTGTCGTCGCGCGTCGCGGCGCGCCGCGCTGCGGGGCGGCGCGCGCGCGGCGGGCTGGGCGGCGCCGGCGCCCGTTGTGCCGCACCGACTGCCCCTCCGCGTCTCCCTCGTCCGCCTCGCGGCCCACCTCCTCCACCACGACGTAGTCGTCGGTGAGGTCGGGCTTCTCGAGCAGCTCGAACGAGTCCGAGCCCGGGGAGGCGCTGCCTGGGGGCGAGTCGCGCGGGGGCGTCTCCGCGAGGGCGGGCGCGGGCCCGGCCGCCGCCTCGTACACCGTGCGCTCCTCCGCCGACGCCTCGGCCGACGTCGTCAGGTCCGCGGACGCCGTCATGTCCGAGGACACGGCCGACGCGCTCATGTCGGCCGCCGTCACCTCGGCGAATTCGGGTTCTTCTGCGATGTAGTCGTCGCCTTCCTCTTGCTCGTCCAGCACGTACTCGCGGCCCTGAAAGACGGCGCGCCTTTGTTTTCGGCTACTCTTCTACAATATTTCTGTCTATGCTTTAATTTATTCCCGAGTTTCCGTTTCCTGCGCTATTATCGACAGGGATTCCAGTTACCGGGCCTGAATTCAAACAACATAAGTTGAGAGAAAGACAGAATGAACTAAGATAATAAATTCTACTGTACAGAAGACAGACGCCGAAGGATACTTTTTGGGAAACGCCAAAACTCAATTTTTCCTCTCACCACGCGAAAGACGCTCCTTTAATCGGATCTTTTCACCTTGGGGAAATTAAACAATGGATGCTGATACTAAATCTATTATTCTCTCGGTGGGAATATTTCCTATTCAACAAGAATGTATGAAACTTTTCTTGCGAAATATGCAATATCTAAGACAATGGGTGCTCAACCTACGACACAAGCACCAAACCTGAAGTATTGATTTAAAATGGCGCATATCATCCTTGGTTGCATCTACATACTTATTTTTTCAAGACAGGAGCCATAAGTATAGCAAATCTTTTTTATATTTTGAAATCCACAGAACCCTCAGTCTTTTTACTCAATATTATGCAATTTTAGTGAGTTTTCTTCCCCAAACGAGACTCTGTGAAAGCTGAAGCGCGAACAGCATTTGCCCTCTCGTCGAAGAGAGTATCTCTCACCATTGCGCTCCAAACAAATGTGACTTCGAAACTACATTGTATTTATTCATTTGTTTCCATGATTGAGTGATTGAGTTACCTCCTTTCCTAATCTATGCGAATCAAATCCTATACCCAATTTCCAAAGGCAACAACGAACGTAAAAATATAGAAAAAAAGTTTGAGTTGTATGGGGCATGTGAACACACTTATGAAAAGAACGGCGTATGTAATGTAAAGCGTTGTCCTAGGCACTGAAATCCCTACCGGAGACAGGACGGCTGTGAGATAGGGATGCGACATCGATGTCGGTATTTTCATGACATCGATGTTTCTTTAAAACAATAGATGCTTTAAACATCGATATATTGAATCAGATGCTTTTCACAATCAATATTTTGTGTTCAAAGCTTTTGTTTAGGAATGCAAAATTTTCATAATCGGTACTACTTCGATGAGAGCAAACTATCCCTCGCCCGAGATGATCCTGATGTTGTAGTTCTTCCTTTTTCTTACATTGATTTTTTTACATGGAAAGGTGTTTTATAGCTTTATTATGATTTACCTTTTAATTACAAACTAATATACACGGCCCCTGTCAAATAAATTTTTGTTGCGTACACATTTAATATCGGAGATTAGTAAACTAAACATCGATGTTTAAAAACATCCATAGTTTTCGTTCGAAGTAATCGTTAACATGGATGTTTTGTTGCCGATGTGGCATGACTCCCGCGAGAGCAGGCGGGCGTGTCTCACCTGGTCGGTGTCGGTGGCGGAGGACGCGCGGCTGGAGGCGGAGGCCGGGGTGTGCGCGCCGCGGCAGCCGCCGCCGCCGCCGCCGCCTCCGCCGCCCCTGCTCCTCTCAGCTCCAGGTCCGGGTAGTGGAAGCGCCGGTCCGACAGCGGCGTCATGTGCTTGCGTGACGTGATGTCTGGGATGGCGAGGCGCGCGGCGGAAGCGGTCGTCGGCGTCGCCTCCGCGAGGACGACGGCGGCGCGTGGGCGGCTCGGCGTCCTCGGGGATGGGGGCTGCCCCGCGCTGGGCACCGAGTGCAGCGGCGCGCGCGGGATGCGCGGAACGCGCCTCGCTCGGCCAGGTCGCGCCGCCCGCCCCCGCCCGCGCCCGCGCCGCCCCGCGCCGCCCATCGCGCCCGCCTCGTCCGGCAGGTCGGCCGGCTCCGGCGACGGCGGCGCTCGATCGGGTCCTCCATCTTCGTCCTCGTCGTCCTCGCCCAGGCGCCCGCTCGGCCGAGCACTGCTTCAACAGCTCGGCCAGCTCGAGTCGGGGCGGTCGTCCGAGAAGCCGGAAGCTGATGGGCGGTGGCCCTCCGAGTCGGACTTGCTCAACCTGCGGGGCGAGGGAACGGCCACATTTTCTCCTTTCCCTTTCATTTGAGGACCTATAAGAACGCCTCACCGCCAATAAATAAATTTATTTAGGATAGCCAAAGCTTCACGTAATGCAGTTATTGAATTTCTTACACGTAGAGTATTTTTGCACTTCAGGCTCAAACCGAAGTTCTAAGGCAAAATCTGTCTACAGCATATCTACACCCACAAGGAAAAGACTCGTATAATCTGTTTACAATATTGATCTACTACTTGTCAAAATTTAATCATACTTACAGAGACACAAACAGGAAGGCAGAAGAATAGGATTATGTGCCCACGAAGATCTTGTATTGTGTTTTCTATTCTTTCAAATTATACAAGAAGATAAATAAACCAGAGTGATTCGCAAAAATAAAGACAATTATCTTGTATAACTTGATTTTAAAACGTATGGCATTTTATAAAGTTTTTCGAACATTAAACAGCAACATACTTTTTGAACATAACAATAACGATACGAAATTTATTTGTGTAACAAACTGAATTACTCGGTCATTTGAAAAATGTAATACTACTTATAGTGATAAATAAACTTAAGGCGGTAGAGATGGTAATATTTCAATTTCTGGCGACGAAAAAAATGTGATACATGTGTATCGCAGCCCAACCCCCCCAAATCAATGTTTTATTATGATCTCTCTACTTTCCCGTTATATGAGAAGACAAATAATGGCATGTCGTTTGCAAGAATACACAAGTAGCGAGAAACTTGACAAAGCACCTATCAAGCACCATATACGAAGTTGAATGCAGTTTACGAAATTAAACAGCAAAACGAATATGGGCCGCCTTCCTCACTGACATAAAGGCGGCTCTTCACATTCGGCATTCGTCGAGCAGCAAGCTACTTACTGCTCGCCGAATCCCGAGCAGCTGCTGTGCTCGGCGAATGCTCGCTTCCTTTGATCTGTCCGATTCGCGGTGGGTAGGCCGAGCACGAAGGCCGAGCGAGAGCGAATGTTCGTCTCTCGTCATATACCATATGAACACTACTGGGGATTCGGCGAGCGGTCGCTCGCAACTCGCCGAATACCAAATGTGTGGAGATGCCTTAACAGATCAAACGGTGCCTCTCGCGGAGGATTCTTTCGTACCTGGGACTGCGGGCGACTCTGGTCCAGTTCGGGCATCTCCTCCTCCTCCAGTTCCACCTCCACCTCTTCGTCGTCCTCCTCGTCGACGCTGGGCGCCGAGGCGGCGGCGACTGCGGCGGCGCTGGCGGCGGCGCGCTCAACCTCGCTCTCCACCTCGTCCAGCTCCTCGTCCACGCTCGCCGCCGCCGCGGCCTCCGCCGCGCGCTTCTCGCGCATGTCACGGTGGAAGCCCTGCGCCCACAGCGCACGCGCAGTCAGGGGCGGGGCCACGGCGGGGCAGGCAAGAAATGTTACAAACTTCTATACTTGGATTTAAACAGGGGTTCGGTTGACGTAAATCAACTGTTACGGTGTTATCCAATTAATCAGTGTTATCGATTCGGAAGGTTTAACGACACCGTAGTGATGTCACTGTAGTGACGTGTAAGCTTTCGATTGGATGACACCGTAACAGCTGATGATCTGTTAAATAAAGCTCTAAATAAATTGAAGAATAAAGCCTGTAGAGTAGCCGAAAATGATCACTTTTGACCAATGAACATTTAGTGGGAAATTGCATAACAAAGTTGTGTATATAACATGTGATATTTGTCCCTAATTGCTAGCCAACTACGTATGCTCAGGTGTTCAGCAGATCAAGGACGCAGTCAAGGACATTCCAAGTATCTGCCGAACAATTGTGCACAAGAGATGCCTAACATTCTGGGGGCAATGGCATGTATAATTCCATTATATGAAATTCGAAAATGTTCATTGACAAAAAGTGACTATATTCGACCCTTTTGCATATCTAGAAGTTTGTAACATTTATTCTTACTTTAGAGGTATACTAATGTCGGTTGTGAATTTATTTATTAGGGTTTAGAGTCCTTTCAATTTCTAGGGTCATTGAGATCCATAAATGATGATCTCATACTTATTATTATAACTGTTCTAACCCGAGGGCCCCGTGTTGAAACTCTAGTGTAGATTAGGATGTTTACCCTGCCATATCCTATTCAAGTCCTGAGGTCGTTACAAATAAGCATTAGTATTTACTGGCTTTATTACCAGCAAATATCGGGGAAAATATTCTCGTGAAGTAGAGTTTGCCACGTCATCTCTTAATAAAACCTATTGGAGATTCACGGTGCAATAATTATATAGATGGACATGGAAGTTGGCAATTGATGGAACGGACCAAACAAAAAGGATTCCTAACATCCGTGGGAGTGAGAAAGATGAATAGCATCCATGGATGTTACACTAGGAATGGCCCAACAAAGAGGACTCACAACATCCATGCAAGAGGGAGAGAGAATTCGTAGCACCCGTCTTCCCCGCAGGCAGTTCCGCAAAGAGCCCGTGGGCACGCACCTGGTCGGCCTCGGTGTGGTAGCTCTCGGGCTCGGCCTCGTCCACGTCCTTGCGCTCGTCGCTGCGCGTCTCCTTGAGCGTGAGCGCCGCCCTCTGCGCCAGCGCGCCGTCGCTCTCGGCGCGGTCGTCGGGGCGCGCGCGCGGCGCGGGGGCGGTCGCGGGCGCGGGGGCGGAGGCGGGGGCCGTCGGCACCGGGATGCGTGACTCGGTGCGCCGGTGGCCCGGGCGGCGCGGCGCCGCGGGCGACGAAGTCGGGGCCCCGGCCGCGGAGGGGGCAGGGCCGGGCGGCGCCGCGTCCACGTCCAGGTCGTACTCCGGGATGAAGTCCACCTGCGGCACAGAGCGCGTTGGTGCTGCTGCTACTGCAGCTCCTTTGGGGCAACTGCTGGTGCCACCGCGTGAGCAATTGAAAGAGAACCGTACGACAGGAAATCGATCGAACTTTATTTAAATATCTGATCGTTTTTCACCAACTGTCTTTAAGAAAAAACGGTACTTAATCATATATGATATCGCTATTACCTGTGGGACTATTATAGAACTACAGTCTGTCGTATGTGAATGCGACAGAAAGTAACGTATTAACGTAGCCTGTTATAATAATAATAATAATAATAATAATAATAATAATAATAATAATAATAATAATAATAATAATTTATTATTATTAACTTTGAGAATTGAGAAACAGAACCGAAAAACACGAAATGCTTAGAAATTTATATAAATATCTGATCTGTATCCACCGAAGGATTATCAGCGAGAAAATGGAACTTAACCATATTAAAAACATTTTAAGAAATCAGTAAATTTATGTTATCTTGCAGAGATCGAACACGCAACCTGCTAATTGTTGGAACGGTCGAGCCACAAGGCATTTCCTTCACAGTAAGTTATCTCTTCACTTTGCCAAGAAATGAATTCCCAGCATGAAGAGGGGTGTCTCACCTGCGTGGGGCCGTTGGTCTGGCCGGGCGAGGCGCGCGCCTGCGACGTGACTTGCGTGCACACGCTCTGCACGCCGTGCTCGGCCACGGACGACGTGGTGATGGTGACGCTGGCGAGCGGCGGGCCGCGGCCGGGCGCGGCGGTGCTGGTGCCGCTGTCGGCGGTGGCGGGCAGTGCCGCCGCCCCCGCCCCCGCCCCCGCCGTCACCACGTGCGGCTCGGCGCCGACCGGCGACGCGCCCCGGGGCGAGGCCTCGATCACCGTGCGCACGCTGGCCAGGCTGCCGTCCTCCAGGCTGGAGGCCAGCAGGCGCTCGTCGGGCAGCGACGACTCGGACTCGGGCGAGTCGGCGGCGAGGGGGCGTGGCTCGGGCTGGAAGATCATCTCGTGGCTGCGCTTGAGGCCGGGGGCCACCGCGGCGCCCGGCGCCCCGCCCGCCTCGTCCTCCTCGTCGCCGTCCAGCATCTCGAACGGGCTGGCGCGCCCGTCGTCCAGCTGCAACGCGCCACACCAAACACGCTCACCCACAGCCCACGCACACGGACCTTCGCCGACTACAGTGCGGCCATTTTATTCATGTGCCGTCGCGAGGCAATTTGGCCTCGGTGAACGAGGCCACGGATTCCGCGGAAATTGAAACAGGGCGGTCGGTAGAATTGTGCAAGAGGGAATGCGGCTTTTCGATACCGGAAAGATTAAATTGTACTTCAAATATAGTAGGCGCTGAAACTCCTCACCGTCAGCTCTGATGCATTCTTGGCATCTCCTAAACAAGTTCACTCGATTAAGGAAGCCTAGTGGTATTGCTGAGTGTGTTCCTGAATAATGTGCCTTAATTTTCTTTCCGTGTGGGGATTTGTCACATATACGTAACCCGATTCCTCTTTGGCGCATTATGTACATACGCTTCTCTAATGCGATTTATTTTTTTCACCAAACTTTCAATCGAATTCCCATGTGGAAGTATAAATCCAGGAAACGCCACGATAAATGTCTGTAGAAACCAGTCTCCCAGATTTGAATTTACGTATGTGTCATACACACTTTCTGTTCGAGAGAACTTCGAGCGAGCCATCACAAATCGACTATTCAACATGGCTGGAAAGCATGTATTTTCCGGGGCGAGACCTTGAAACCCTCTCGCCGCAGGGGAGTTGAGCGCCCCGGCGAGTAACAGATCATGAAGAATTTCCCAACATAGCGGCACTAATAAAATACTGCATTCTTGAATTTGGAAGTATATTTTGTTGATGTCATATTAAATAAGTCAGATAAATCAAGAACAGTAATATTAAATATGTAAACAATGTATGACATATTTTATGATTGTTTGTAAAAATGTACTGAATCATTGCATGATGTACACAAGTAGTCGGAAAGAAGTCTTAGTATTTGTGATCTTTAAGATTAACAATTAATCTTTAAGATAACAATTAGATTCAAATTGTTAAGTATAATATATTATTAATAAAAGTTATATGTCATAAAACAGCATTATTTGTTGTTAATGCTTGTTCAGGTATTCTACTACTCCCCCGTATTAAACCTATCTTCTCTTTCGCAGGAAAGAAAACAACAGTATCTCAAAACAATTTTTTTATGTCTTTGCTTAATTACTCACGTATTAGTCTCTAATTTTTTGTTAATTTTTGATTTGCAAATTTTTGAAAATAGAGGGGAATCTTATAATTGAGAAAACACGGTAATGATTGGCAGGGCCGTCCAGAGAAATCAGAAGCGTGGGACAGTTGACGCATGGGGGGCCCTAATTTCAAACAAAAAACATTTATTCCCCAATCGACCTGGAGGATGTCGCGGCCCCTTGAATTTGAAACCGATCTTTTAATTTTGGAAGGTACTTTACATGCAGTCTCTGCGGCATTTTCAAAATTTTCAAACAAATGGCTCTGTTTTTGAATAATTTTTTGTTGTTGGATAGTGTGAAGGACGTTTAAAGGAATGGTGCAAGTCTAATTTGCATGAAAACTCCGATTTTTCTTTAAGTTGCAAAATTTCAAATTTTTTTCGACGTCTTCCTACAACTACAATTATGAAAATAAAGATATTTTCCCATAATGAAATCTGTTAAATCCTTAAAGATAGATTTTGAAATAACAATTTTTCGAAACTTTGAGTACTTTTGGCGTAATTTTGCGTGAAAGTAGGAGCGGAAAGTGTATGTAAAAGACTCGGTGCCCCGATTAGCAAGTCGCGGCCTGGGGCTAGTTGCCCGTCCACTCGTCACGCACCTCATCGTGCGTCGTCGTCCGTCGTCATCGCGCTGGGTCGTGGTCGTGGCGGTGGCGCGGGCGCGGCGGCGGGGGCGCGGCGGGGCGCCCTCCGCGCGGGCGTGCGCGTGCGCGTGGGGCGGCAGCGGCGCGGGGGCGGCGTGGTGCGGGGGCCGCTCGCCGCGGATGACCGCCGCCGGGATGTGCGTGTCGTACGGCTCCACCACGGCGTCCAGCTCCGCGCCCTCCATGTCGCGCTCCAGCTCCAGCGCCGACGGCACCAGCGTCTCGCTCGCCTCGCTCGACACCTCCACCGACGCCAGGTGGCCCGACGACTCCGAGTCCAGCGACTTCATGGAGTCGCGCGAGCTCAGCGAGCTCACGGCCGTGTGGAACTCGGCCGAGCGGGCGGACAGTTCCTGAGCCATCGTACACTTTCGTTAAATATTCTACTTTTGTTACTAGGCTGTATATTATTTTTGTAGTGTGTATGTCATACACCACAATATTAATTTAAATTTACAATAACGCTAAAATAAATATTGAAGTAAATGTTGCCACATATATGAAGGTAAAAAACAAAAACTCTAAACTTTTGTTTTTTGGATCCGCCACTGGATTCATTAGAGATTCCTGGTGCATCAAACTGCTGAGATCATTAGTCTCGTAAGTGTAGTGAATGTTTTTATCGCGGGAGTTTGCGGTGATCTTGCCCTGCTGACTGGCGAGGATTTTCCCCAACCAGTTATTTCCCACCAGCATGGCACCGCCCTAAGAGGGGCACACTCTAAGCTCTCGAATGGTTTCCCGACATATGTAGTAGTGTAGTGCATGCACCGGAAAGCTTAAATTCTACTTCAAATGTAGAAGACGCTGGAACTCCTCACCGTCTGCTCTGCTGCATTCTTGTCCTATCCTAAACGAGTTCTAGTTCACTCGATTAAGTACGTGTAAGAATGGAAAGGACAAGGACAATGAAAGAAATATCTCGCGCTTTCTGTGGTCCAGCTCCTCCATTCGCCTGATGTTGATAGAAGAAATTACAGAAAAATACCGATCAGAGCAGCCCCCTCCAGACAGCGGCTGAATTCGATCTAACTATCTAGCTTCTGTCGAAACTCCTGCCACGTCGGGATTGGAACGCTAGGACCTTCCGGTCCGAGGGGCTCAGTTGCTGCCCTGAGCCACCTACGCCGATGAGACGGGTTGCGGGTCGCGGCCGGAGCGTTCGTGCGACATTCAGCCTTTCGCAACGTATTATACGCGTACGTTACTTGAGCCCCGGAATACCTAGCATCACCCACTAATATTAGCTGAATTAAGAATAAAAGTTAGAGGCGTGCGTTGTTGGCAAAATCGTATTACCAAAAGTGTTCCCTTCCGTATAAAAGAAACAATTTTGCATAGGAAAACGAGCTACAGATTCGATATAATAGTTCTGACATCGAAATTACTAGCCTGCCCTCCTATCGCATCTAGCAAATTGGGGATCAAGAGCACGTGCGTGGATAATTCTGCTAATGAAGGCTGTAAAAGGTAAAACTAAAGGTAATACAGTTACGGATTTTCGCAGTTTTTACAGAATTTGCTCATGGAACATTTTCTGAGGTACGTACTGTACACGAATAACTTGGTGAAAATTGGATATAACAAAAGTTTCTTTACAGTTCAATTGTTCCTCACATGTAACGAATTTTATTGGGTAATGAGAAGGAGAACACCGGAGTGCTAAGTGCTGACCATAGTTGTAGGTCTATTTTCCACTGTTAATTATAAATAATAGAATTGACGAGGCCCAAATTCAGCGTTGCCTGGGAAACGAAACCCGTCATTTACATCGTTTCCAAAAAGACAGGTTTTAAATGATTCTGTATTCTAAAATTAAAACTGATTGTTTATATAAAATGTTAATAACTATATAAAACGTTAGAATTTCCGCTTTATTTAGAAAAAAAGTTGATATATAAATGTTTATGCATTTTTTGTTCCTAGTTTAATCTTCAGCATTGTAGGTTTAAAATAACAGCATTAGTATAGGAATGAAATAGCATTAGTATAGGATTAAAGACTGTATCAGTTAAATATTGTATAACAGGTCTGACGTTTCTTCCGCCTTTCTGTTGGTATAAACGTATGTGTTAAAACTTCGTACATGGACGTAAATGTGACAAAGGAAGAAAGCATCGACTCGTACTCGGGGAAAATTAATAGAATGGAAGTAAGAGAACGCGAGAAGTTTGAAAGTATGCAAAGATCCATTTTAGAGTGTGATCTAGAGCAAACAATTTACAAAATTCTGAGGGAAAAAAATATTTGTACTGAATACTTGTAGAAATCTCAATCGCAGAAATACAAAAGAAACATTAAACATGTCTGCAAATTCGAAATTCGTTTATCCAGACATTAAATCTTCACCACAGTAGAGTTCATATTGTGACTTTCGTGTGTGAATGATACTTGAGTAAGAGTCTACATATACTACACTACTATTTAAAGATCATTTTAGAAGTATGTCGCTTATTTCAACGATATGGGGAAACATAACGTTAACGCACATTGAGTGCAAACTAAGATATTAAGTTGAGAACGTGTTGCTTTTTGCGTGTTGCTGTGGGTTACCACAGACGTAACCCAACACTGTGCTGTCTTTTGTGATCATAAAGCTGAAGTATTCACGAACAAATAAACTGAACGCGAACGAATAACTCTGAGGAATAAATTTATTGGAGAGTTAATACTGTATTTTTGAAAGAGCTGCAACATTCCACAGTTTAGAATTACCGTCATATTCCCCCATACCCTCATTTTGTGTTTGTGTGGGCGTCAACGTACATGTGACGTGAGGGATGTTAGCGCCGACTCGTACTCGGAGGAGCCGGCGGTGCCCGCGGCCGCAGCCACCAGCAGCTCCACGTCGGAGGAGCAGGGCCGGCTGTAGCTGCGGGCGGACTCGGACGTCTGCTCGAACGAGTGGTAGTGGCTCTCGCCGGAGCTCGACCATGCGCTCTCAAGGTCGGCGGCGGCGGAGCGGCGGTCGGCGGGGCCCGCGCGCAGCACCTGGGGCAGAGGGGAATCTCCTCTCCAGGTCTCTCCGCTTTTTAATCTACTTCGGTTCTCGGGCGGGGGAATTAGTAAGTGCTTTCACTGTGGGATTGATTGATTGGAAACGTTGCTTAGTCACGACTGTTTAAAGCAGGGTTGTCAAATTGGAGGACTGCGGGCTTCATGCGACGCGCGAAGCAATTTATTGTGGCCTGCAATAGATTTTTAGTCAAAAGTGGAAGTCCCTTGATCCATATCGGTCGAGAATATTCTGCCCCTAACGAAAGCGCCCTTTCGGGGTTAAAATCTTATTGTAAAATTTGGTTAAGTTTGGATTTAAGATTTGTTTCTAGTAAATTCATAATCATTCCAACGTGTTTCCCTGCGTTGAGTATGGTACGGCCTGACATGCATGGCTATGTTGTTTCCCCCGTCAGGGCAAACTGCCGAAATCAACAATATGGGGAAGTCAGGTGGCGATTATCCGAGTACTGTAAATATGGCCCGCAACCATACTAAAGGTTTCAGTTGTGGCTCCTGAGGTTACAAGGGCCCACGCCTTGCAAATTGGATACCCTGGTATACAGCAATAAAATGCTGCAAAGTAAACAAACTTTACGACCACACGAATCAAATGGTTGTCACCTCGCATATCGGCTATGATCCCAAGAGCATAATTACGTTTCCGTGAATTCGTACTAAAGAATTAAATAAGCAACTCGTACCACAAAGGAATTTATCGTACAAATGCGTCGGGCGTTCTCATTTCCTAATGCTGAACTCGGCTCCTATCCCTGCCTCGTATGTCAACATTTTATTCATACATCTAAGACACTTTCTGAACTAGTTACGTAAATAGCGATTAACGTCTACAAGTGTAATACAAACAAACAATTTTACACGTTGTATAGAACAATTATTTTTAATATTACATGAAAAAGAGACAAATTTTGATAATTTGGAGTCCTTCCGGAAATAAATAGTACTTCTTCGAGTTTTCAAAATTTCGAGCTATCAAAAACGCATTTTGAAAGCAAATGACACTACGTATTGAGGCACAAACACATTCATCAGTGCCTTTATTAACATCGGCATTTACTTCCCTGTATTATACTAGTACTCAAGTTCCCACACAGTCGCTCGCCTAATATTCTGTGGGTTGAACAGCCTGGCCTTCCACCGTTTGTCCGACGGCAGCATACCGCGTGCCTCCCTCCTTTCCCCTCTTCCAGCTCGAGAGCGCGATCGCAGGAACGTCTTCCATTTGGCCTTGAAGCAGGGTCGCATCGTTGACAGTCTGTGTCCCGATCGCGTCTCTGTTATGGCTGCGGCAGGCGCCTCGCCCAGTTCTCACGAGGACAGGGTGGTGAGTTGGCACGAAGGACGTACGACGGGAGGGAACGTAAGTCAACATTGGGGTAAGTTAAGCAAAGCCCTTCAAACCTTGTTTATATTTATTAATGTTTCTTCTTTAATGATAAAAAATTAATCTTTCGCGTTTATGAAACATTTTCGTTACCAAATTTTGTTTATTGGGATTTCATTACAATGTAATGTTCGTACTCCAGAGAATAAAAATATTCGAGTTATAAAAAATCGTGTTACAGCCTTTCGTGTTGTCGAGTATTGACTACGAGTATATGACGAAACAGTAAAATACTACTTAAAGTGTTCGTTTCGTTTTTAGCACAATGTTCCCAATTAATCACAGTAAAAACACGTCACTCACATTGTGAAAAATACTTGTCTGCAATAGATACTTGTAGAAGAACACAGATTTCTCAATACTCCTTTAGAGAAAAACAGATTTTCAGTTTACGGGAGCATCTAGTTAGGAATGAGTTCAATCAAATGTTTTCATTTTCATCAAGCCCGTTCATTCCAATTATAATAACGATTTGGGGAGTTTTAGAAACTTTTTTCTGGGTGAACTGAATTCTAATTTTTTTAATTTAACTCTCACCCAAAGCCAATTTTACCTGGTTATTGCAGTGTTTGAAAACCGGTTATAATCGGAGCAAAAAATAACCACAAAAACACTTCTTCCGACGCGTATCTGTCGCGATCGTGTGCTTACAACTATTTCCAAAGCCAATGTTATCTGTTTATTGGATTTCCCTCCAAAACTGTTATAACTAGGGGGAGGATTTTAATGAAATGTCATTTTTTTCTTGTCCCTTCAGAACAATGACTATTAGTATATACATAAATTTTATGTTATGACAAAACGAAATGACCTATTTATATGTCATTTTCTTTGGTTTTAGGGCTTTTATAATACATTTTAAGAGCATTTTATTGATACTTTTTGGCGATGTTTTAGGTCACAATCGGGGCAAACACTCGTTCCCCCACGTACCTGTCCGGGGCCGTGCCGGCGCATGACGACGGCCGGCAGCTGCGGCACGGCGCTGGTGGAGGCGGCCCGGGGCAGCGTGCCGCCGCCCGCGCCCGCGCCGGCGCCAACGCCGGTCGACGACGCCGACGACGTGGTGGTCTCCTCGGGGGACTTGGCGATGGACTCGTCCTGCGACAGCGAGCGCTGCGACTCCTCGCTGGACGTGCGCCGCACGGCCTCGCGCCGCTCCTCGGCCAGCACGCCCGAGTCCACCTGCGCGAAGAGCCAGGCCTCAGGCGTCCGCTCGCGGTGAGTGCAAACGTTTTTAGTTGCATTACAGCTCTGCAAACTACCCTTTTCCTTGCAAGAAATCGGTCGGTAAAGAGCGTCTAACAGCTCAGATGATGACGTTTTGCCGTTTACGGCACGGATAATTGCATCATACGTTGAGTAAACGGATCATCCGCCCACCGTTTTTTCGCACAGATGTCCAATATCCGTGACGTCACAAAGTTGATTCCCAAAATTAACTTTGATTCCCTAACGTCTCTCGTTTTCAATACATGAACCCGTTCAATAACGCTTAACATTATGAACTAGTTTGCATAAACTACTAATACCGATGATATCACTCGTCAACTCTGTGGGTGCAGGGTAAAAGTTCCCAAGGGCTTAACTAATCATATCTTCTTTAGAATTTCAATTGATAACCGCAGATCTATCTACCAATACTGACCACGAATTCTTTTTTCTCGGTCATTCAGGCACGTTTAACGCCCGAACTTTAATCGCTGCATTTCAGTGCAGCGATTATATCACGCGATCAAGATATTGAGATAATACCAACCAACTTAACCCTTTTGTTTTATAGGAACGATTTTTAATACAACATGGCTGAAAGTTTGCGAGTCATGAACGCTTTGATTTTCGTAAATACGAAATATAGCCAATGATTAATTAACATGTACTTTAGGAAAGACATTGCGGTTTCACAAAAAAATCCACATGTTAGCTCCAACACAAATAAATGCAGTAGTAATTAGTAAGATACACATTGATTGAACGATATGTTTTTGATATTTATTCCGTTTTTCAAATTCTACTATTGTTTTCAAATTCAGTTATCCGTGTATCAAAAGACCAAGAATGAAAAAATATCTTTAATATGTCGGAAAAAATAGCTGTATTAAATTAAGAAAACACGTAACTAATTTTTGATTCCTAATTATCCGATAATAGTTTGTGTAAAACGTGGCACTGATTTTTAAATTGTTGAATTAATTTTGCAAGATTATGAAATGATTGCCTAATATACGATACTCATTGCTCTGGAAGGAAATGTGCTAATACGTTCCTCGAGGTCGCTGCTGAGCACATGGTGAACTGTAGACCGACATGCTTCCTTTAAGAGAAACATATTCCAGTTTTTTTTCTGAAGCTGTAGGATCGAACAGGAAATTTCACTTGCGAGAAGCCAGGCGCGAAAAATATCTCGTTGACAGCGCGTCTACTGATAACGCTGATGTGTATGTGACGCAATATTCAGCGGGCGCTACTCCCGAGTCAAATCGAATTGCTCACAGAGAAAGCGCAGAGTACATACTAACTCTGAAACTGTGAGGTTAATTGCAAGAATCTATTGAGCATATGTGAGACCTCATTGTATGGTGAAATAACATATCCGTTGTTTAAGTATTATTGAAGAAGGAATCCAGTTTATTTGACAGAATTAGCTTCACCCTCGCAATGGATAATAGTTATAAACAATTCAAAGTAACTAAAATTGACCTTTACATTCGGTATAATACAATAGTTTTTAATTCACGAAAAAGTGACTTACTTTTCAAAGCATATGAAGAGTCCTAATAATTCTCGCATATGTTTTTCCCCTAGAAACAAGTTGATCAGATATCTTGAAATATAAATTGGAATGTGTAGAGAATAATAGTAGGAAGGCCAAATAATTATTTCATATTGGGAAATCATTGTAAGACCCTTGATCCCGTGTGAATCAAGTAATCCTCCTCCTAATACAGAAGAACGAAGGCGTTATAATCTCTTTTGTGGAACTTTCTGCTGCAGGAGAAGGGAAGGGAAATGTAGAAGTATGTTATATAGAAAATGTAAAAAGTTGATGAGGTAGCAGCAGGAGGAGAAAGAGGAGAGGACGACGGATTAGAAGAAAAACACGAGGAGGAAAAGACAGGAAGAAGTCGGAGGAGGGTAAGGAGTGGAAAATATGTGGGGAGGAACAGAAGCTTCAGCAGCAGGGGAAGGGATCGAGTATGAGGGAGGAGGAATACTAAAGAGAAGATGACTGTCGACGAAGAAAAGGAAAAGGGGAAGAAGGAGGAGGTTGGCAAGAATAAATAGGAGGGGAGGAAGGATGATGGGAAGTAATAGGGGAGGAAGGAGAGCGAGATGAAGACGACCACATGGAAGAAAATGATGCGGAGGAAGAACACGGTGCGAAGATGGAGGAGAATAAATAGGCACAAATATGTGATGAACGAACTAAAGAAGGGACAAAAAGGGATAGAAGAAGGAAAAGAACCCGAACCAATAGGAGGAAGGGAGGAATAAGGAAGAGGAAAAGGAAGAGGAGGAGGAGGAGGAGGAGGAGTGCGAGGGCGAGCCTCACCTTGAAGACCCGGCGCACCTCGACGCGCTCGACGCGGCTCTCCTCGGTGACGGCGCAGCTCTCCTCGAGCAGCGCGCGGCGCGTGGCGGCCCCGGGCGCGGCGTCCTCCGTCTCGAGCCGCCAGCCCTCGCAGCGCTCCTGGCGTGCGCGCGTCGCCCACGCGCTCGCGACTCCTGCCGGCCGCGCCCGCCGCGGCGCTCGGCCGCGCGCTCCTCCTCGACCTCCTGGCGCAGCGACACGCAAATGAAACGAGCCCGATATCGAATGATACTATAGCGCTGTAAGAAGTGGTGATGCAAGGAGGGGGGGGCGGCATGGGGCGCGTGCCCTCCATAAACGCCAAGAGGTTTTCGTTTGTCAATTTTTTGTTGCCAAAGATTAATTTAACCATATTTATTACGTTACAATTATGTAATGTTAAAGAATAATAATGTGTCTACTTATTTACACATACAGTACCAATAATCTACAATATAGATCAAATGTTTGATTATTCACAAAAGTTTTATGATGGCCTTCTCGAATTGATCGGTTGGATCCGCCCTACGTATAAGGCGTAGCAAGTCACAGTGAATATGAGTCCCTGAGCCACATTAGGTACCGTTCTGGGTATAGCGGTATTTTACTGGGTAGGTAAAAATCTATTAACGAATTCTTGCAACACGCTTTAACTGCATAGAAAATAACAAAATTAGATATGATATACGCTTGTTTTAGTCTCATTATATCCATTAAGTGGCCACATGCACGAGCGGTCATTTTTGATTCGTAACCAACAGTAAGCCCTTAAGGCAAGTTTCACTTTTTCTTCTTTCATATGATCGTCGCTACATATAAGTGTGCTGTTGCAAGAACTTTTTATTTCATAATAAACTAACTGTACGAACGATAAATGCAATCCATCTACTGAATATGCAAATTTAAATTCACCTAATTACGAAATGTTGATATTTGACGTATATAGTGCTATTAACACAGCGGTTTTGTAACTCAGGTGTTAAACTTTACGTGGGAGCAACTAACACAGAATCGCTGTCCACGCCCAATCACATGCTGAAGATGTGGAAGTCGGTCAATACTGAATTATTGAAATCGGCGCAATCACGATAGCCTTGAAAATACAGCTTCTAGCGTCACATGCAGATGATACTCAGAGACACCCGGTGCGCTACCTAAAGGAAATTTACGTCATTATTAATATTTATTAATCACTGTAGTACGTAAATGGTATTTATAAATTATTTGTGTCAGGTTTTAGCAAAAGATCTACACTGGTTCAATAAATAATGTGGCATGAGTAATTGCATATGTACATGTATCGTTGAAGCGAAAGAAGATTGACGTGCATTCGTTGGAAGTTTGATTAGGATAGTTGCTTTCTTGCTCTCATTCGAGATTTGACTTTTTCTCTTCTGACCTTTCACTATTACGAGCACAAGGTAGAAGTGTCTGAACGCCAAAATCTAAAAGGATGTTATTTGACTTAAAATAAGGTAATTTAGTCCCTTTTCCCGAAATGTACGTATTTTGAAGGGGTTAAGCATACTAAAGAAGTTATTGAGGACTCCATTCTCTATTACTTGGTTCCTTGTTGAAGAATATATACACTGTTAAATCCGACGATTTTTTGTACTCCAGAGGTTTCTCAAATATTGTGTAAAAATATGCGTCCTTAAACTTGATATCGAAAATAAATGCTACACATAAGACATGGTATGTGAAGGGTTAAACTGTTGTCGTTGCATGCAAAACTAGGTATGCGAATAGCTTGTTTATCTAAGCGTTGTATTAAAACTACTGATCAGCATAATACGATGATAAGCAGAGATTTACATGTATATTACACACGGGAAACCTGATAAAACTTTATTTCATTCGAATAAAATATAATTAGCTTATTTCAACATATTCAAAAAAAGTATTTTGGGATAAAATAGTGCCATCGAACAGTGTATCATATGGAAGAACGACTATTGAAATGCTTTTGATATTTTTTTTCAAAGTTCTCCTCTTTGACACATGTCTTGTAATTCCTCCACGTGCTATATGCTCGATTTTTATGCCAAAATACTTCCAAAGCTTAAGGTTTACGTATCTTTTTTAATTGTATCGTGCTCAAGTCGGGCACAAGCTACGTTAATATATTTTAACTATCCATAAAGTAGAGCAGTGTAAATAACTGTGATCAATGTACTTATTATTTTGCGCATACAGATGCTTTTGTGTCATTCACATTTCCACTGTTGCGCCGGGAACTGGCAGTTTCAGCAGGCGACAAATAATTGCGTACTTGAAGGCTTTTGATATACGAAGCGACATACTACAGAAAGCGTGTGCATGATGCGTCACTACTGTGAATACGTTGAATACATCGGCAAGATTATTTCGTTCAGAAGGGGGAGGCATTGAAGATGATTGGCAAGGGCTCGAAAAGTAGTTTCTCAACAGAAGACCGGTGGTTATACTATTAGTTCTTCCAAACTTTTATGATCAATTGTCAAACTGCTTGTTTGAAGTAGCCAAAACGACTATATTAATATCTTTTAACGGTGCGGTCTTCGATGACGCTCAACTGTTTTGTATTTGTGCGCAAGCCTGAACGGAAAGTACCCCTGCATATCGCCCATTGGCCGTTGAGTTGGCATTTTTCGGGCGGCATGCATCCTTGTTTTCGTAAGTTCTCCGGAAGCGAAGCAAAAGGGGTCGTAGAGGAGTACCTCGCTAGAGTTCACCCGCAGGGAGAAGCTTAACAGAAGACCGGCGGTTATCCAACTAAATTCTTCGGAAGTACTGGTTGAATCAAATGTAGCACTGGTTGCTTCGCCAAAACCGACTATATTAATTTCGCAGGGCGATGGAGTCTCAACTGTTTCATGCTCAGCTGTTTCAGAACCTGTCAAAACAATCGACTCATCCATATCGCCAAACGGCCTGTTGAGTTGGTATTTTTCGGGCGGCATGCATGGTTTTCTCCCATAAGCTCCCAAGCGATGCGAAATGAATCCTGGCAGGGTACCACGCTGAGGCTGGCTCTGCGCATGGCTATGAAACTGAATGCTTCAACGTAGCCAAATTTAAATATATTAATTTCAGAGAGCAATGGCGTCTTTGGCGACGCGCAATTGTTTTGGATTCTCAATTGTTTTGAATCAAAACAATCGTCGGGTGGATTGAAGCAAGAAGACTCATGCATATCGGCCGTCGATTTGGTCTTTTTCGGGCGGCATGCAGTCTCTTTTCCCCCGCAAGCGGTCTCGAGGCGAAGCGAAGCTAAAGGGGGCGTGGGTGTGCCACGCTGGTGCTGTCCTGCGCGTGGCGAGGAGTCTGGCGCAGTGAGAGGACAACGTAACAAAAGACCGGCGGTGATCTCACTAATCCTTAAGAAGTACTGTTAGGATCAAATGTAAAACGGATTTTTATAACTGAGCCAAAAGAGACTACATTAATTTCGGAGAGCGATGCAGCCTTTGGCGACGCTCAGAACAATCGTCCGCTGGCCTGAAGCGAGATTACTTCATGCATTGTGCCGTCGATTTGGCATGCGTGCTTCTTCGTAAGCCGCCGGTGCGCGAGGCGCAGCGAGGCTGAAGGGGGCGTGGCGGTACCTCGCTGGTGCTGTCCCTGCGCGTGGCGACGAGCCGCTCACGCTCCTGGCGCGTGGCGCCGTCGGGCCCTTCCAAGACGGACTCGCGCTCGCGCACCTCCCGCGCGGCGTCGCGCTGCTCGCAGAACTCGGCGTCGAGCCGGCGCTCGCCGCCGCGCGCCGTCGCCAGCGCGTCGTGCAGCGTCGCTGTGCGCGCCTCGCTCTCCGCGCGCCGCCACTCGCGGGCGTCCTGCGCACGCCAGCGCACGCAACGCGCCGCCTCGTAACCGTCTCCCCGGGGCAGATGAGGGGCAGCGAGCACGCGAAACCGATTAAGCCCCTAATGTGTTGCCATTTGGAGCCATTCAAGAGGTGCCTTCGCAAAATTTAGATTTGTACACCCCGTTAGCAAGTTTCCCCCTCACGGGTAAATATTATTCCCTATTCCCAAATTAAATAATGGTAAGTTTGTTCATAATTAGTTTTTATTTTATTCATTTATTAATATAAACAAATTGTAATTAAAATGCGGGCCGCCACTCGCGTTCCTCCTACCCTCGCCAGCCTGAAGGGGGAAGCTCCTATAACCATCTCCCGACTTGCGGGGGAGATGAGTTGCAACAAGAACGTGTAACCGATTAAACCGGCGATGTGTTGCCATTTGGCGCCTTTCAATTGATACGTTCAGTTAACAGGATGGTTGTGCGATGCGTTAATCCACCCGAGGACGGTTTGACTGCACGGATATACGTAATTTCAAAGGGAAATAATGGTTTTGAGTTATAACGTGTTTTGAAACCAACTTGAACTTCGCTGTGTGTCAGTAACTCGATTGATTTGTGGAAATATATTTTCACACTTGCTTTATTTCAAATTGAAATGTAGCATATCTAAACCATTCTGTCATTGCCAATGGAAAGATAACATAATTATTCGTCAAATGCTGGATCTTTCAAGGGAAGAACACACAACCTCGAAATTTATTTGGAGTCTTCGATAAATGCGTAGTGAATTTTAAACGAGTACACACGGCAGACTTCAATTACAACCGCATAAATGTGACAACGGGATTTTGTCGACATATTTTAGGTGACAATTCTTCACAATCATTTTTTGTTTTATTACGTAATTAGAGGTTGAAATTATTTGAAAATGAAAGTGATCACCAAAATATTAATCTTGCTACAGAACAGAGATTTTGCAAAACTACAAAGGACAGCGACTTCTCTTTCTCTCAGATGTCCTCCGTCCTAATCTTACTAAACAACTTCGTTTATAATTTATGTGACAGACTCCAAGTTGACTTCTTTACTTAATCAGTAACTCGAAATTCATAGGGGAAGAAATAAATAATGTTTATAACAATTCAACAGAGAACAATAATCAACCTACACTTTCAGCCGACCTCACTTTCCTTCCGATTCTAGACCTTCAAATTTGACCAAAGGTCATTTTGAATAATATAATTACAAATCTCACCAATTCAGTCGGTCTCGGAGACTTTCTTTTCCCGTCGATGATACTCGTGCATTGTAATGCGACAAAACTACTCTTAGTATATTTTAATTGTATACGAGCCTTTGCCTTTGGATCTGCTCTTTTATTTAATCACTACGCCCAAATTCATAGGAGCAGAAAAATATCATATGTACAACTTGCGTTTACTTCATGGGACAGCCGGTTTTATCTCCTTTCCGATGGTAGTCGTTAAATCAGGTACGCCTTCGTGTGTATGTAAGCGACGAGGCTTCGCCATCAGACATGCTCTTGTACTGAATCACGGAAGTGGAAATTCTTAGGGCAATAAAAGTCCCGTTGAAAATTCAACTCGCATCTACTAGATACCAGTGCCGCGGACTTCATCTCCCTTCCGATGCTTGCCGTTCAAATGACACCCGAAGACTTCGTGTGTAAGTGACAAGGCTTCTCCGTCAGGCGCGCTCTCTTACCGAATCACGGAAGTGGAAATTCGTAAGGCAAACCGCAAAATATTCGCGTCTACTACACGGAACCACCGGCTTCATTTCTCCTTCGATGAACGCTGTTCAAAAAACAACAAGGTCTTCGTGCGAATTCGAAGTGACGACGTCGTCATAAGACCTAATTTTTTACCTATCCCCGAATGTCGTATATCGCAAGGCAGGAAAAGTAGCGTTACAACCGCAAGTGCGCCTGCGTCTAGTACACGGGCCCGCCGTCTTCACGTACCTCAGCGAGCGCGGCGCCGTCGGGGGCCATTGCGTGCACGCGTCGCGCGCGCGCGTCCTCCTGCGCGTGGTGGGCGGCGCGGGCGGCGGCGTGGGTGGTGCGGTGCTCGCCCGCCGCCGGGCCCGCGCTCTCCTGCGCGGCGCGCGCGTCCTCGCTGCGCGCCTCCTCGATGTGCTCGCGCAGCGAGCTCTCGAACGAGAGCACCTTGAACTCGAACTCGGACGGCGACGGCTTCTGCTGCTTGCCGCCGCCCGCGCCCGCGCGCTCCTCCAGCAGCGACTCCTGCGCCGCGCCCAGCGACTCGCGCACCTGCGCACGCGCGGCGGCGACGCGCTCGGCTCAGCGCGCTTCGCTCCTTCAGCCTTTCCTGTCCCCGGACGCGGCAACTGCTATGGGCCTTAGTCCCGCCAGTGTAGTGCAGGAGGTGACTGTGCTTTCCCCCGCCGACCTACACGTCGGCTTTAAGCGTTCTCCCCATCTAGGTATCTTTCACTAACAGGGAAACGCCCCAGCCGGAAGGCTATATGCTCCCGACTGGTCTCCCGACATACGTTCTAGTAAATTGCATATTTCATAAGTGCAGGTGTATTGCATATAAATGTAAATGTGTGTAAGAGGTGATGATACGATGAAGTGATTGATTAGTGATTCTGGGCGCGTCACCAGCTAAAGATCATTAGTACCGTAAATGTAGTGCACGCTTTCTATCGCCGGAGGTGGCGGTGTACTTCCCTCGCTGAATGGCGAGATCCAGCACCGTCCAACGTCGCTGTGCGGGGATTTCCACCATCCAAGTGTCTCCCAGCAGCGAGACACCGCCCCAAGTTCCCGCCTGGTCTCCCGACGTACGTGGTGGTGAAGTGCATATAAATATGTAAGAGTTGAGGAAAGGACCGTGGCCCGTTCGTTAGGGTAGTGCTCCAGCATTCGCCTCGTATTGTTCAGAGAAACCACGGAAACCTACTAATCAGAGCAGCCGGCCTCTAGAATTGTCTTCCAGACAGCGGCTGAATTAGAACTAGCTCTCTAGCTACAGTCGAAAACTCTGCCACCGCCGGGAATCATACCCTAGAACCTTCCGGTCAAAGACACTGCGCTGGTATCAAGAATGCCCTGAGCCACCTAAGCCGGTCGGAAGGCTTCTCCGCTGGCGTGTGTGGTCTATATAATAGGTGCCCCTGAACGCAAAGTTTTTCGGCCTCTGTCTACAGATTCCCATGCAGATGAAAAAGTTGATATGCATTATTTTGTGTACATTCTGAATTGTGAATACTAGTTATTAGAATTGTCGTGTCGTTTCAAACCCACTTTAATTCACCCAAAGACATTTTCAACGAGCGTGACGCCGAGAATGTCCATTATCAGATGATCCCATTGTTGCAACTGGTTTTATTTGTTCGTTGTTTTTTCAGTTTTGGTGACATGTTCCGCGCCGCCTAGCCCAGAGAGTGTGCGCGATTCGTTTCCTGGAGCACGTACGTTGGATCTCCGGATGGAGTCTGCTGGTCCAGATCAAGGTATTCGCAAGAGCTGTTTTGTTCTTTAAAACTGTTAACAGCTGCCCCTAAAGGAGTTATTTTGTCAGTGTTCTATCAGCCTCGGTTCTCTTAAATAAGTTTATCAAACAAGTTGATATACCTTATTTACTATCATACACTGAATCGTCGGTTCTACTGATGAAAATTGATGTCGCTTCACATCCATTTTCATTGATCCCCAAATAATGATAAAACAGCGAAATACCGAATCTGCAACAATTGCTACTCATTTGTCCATTCTCTGAATAATCCCCTTGTTGCTTGCTGTTAGATGCTGTTTAATGTTTCAATTTTGATGAGGTAATCTTATTACTGTGACCCCCACGCCGTTTTGTCTCAGAGCGTATGTGCGGTTCCACGCGTGATGTGTGTGGGAGTGTGTGTAATTCACGAAACGTTGGAAGGGCGTCCGCTGGTATGATGTGAAGTAACTCCTTAAATGTGTTCGCAAGAACTGCTATTTTCATTAATCCAATTAGTTATCTAGAAACCTTATTTTCGTCTGAAAAAGTAGTTTTCCAGTTTCATTTTTCTATTGTGTTATCCTCAAACAAAAAATAAATTTGTGTAATTTTGTCTCACATTCTCAATTTCTGTCTTTTCATGTGCTCGCTCTACTGGTCCTCAAATAAAAGCTTGATTAGAGGTATTGAGCATCATATTCTCGATCGTCTCTGCTAGTAATTATATAGTTGTGTCGTTTCCTTTCCATTATAATGAGGGGAAATAGCGGAATCGAACCCGGGCCACGCGCCATGTGGCTTCGGGCTTGTGCACATTCGTTGCCGGTTGCACATTTGACTGAAGTTCGCGAAAGGCTGGTAAAAATTCCACCGTTACCTATGATGGTTTTTCGAAATGGAGTAGCCTAGTCAAAGTCTCGAATTGGAGCGCAATGTGTTCGCAAGCAACCTTTTATTCTTTTAATTGAATAAGAGTTGCTCATAAAAGAGTAGACCTAATTTTGCGCTGTTTTGTGTTGTCTAATGGGCTGCAAATGGAGTAAATTGCTGATATTCGAGTTTTTGTTTCATACTCTCCACAACTGGAATGAATCCTCAAATATTTTCTACATATCGCATTTCCGAGAATCTCTGCACAACAATTGCTATTTAGGCCCTCGGTGGTACATTATCTGAATAATCCGCCCCATTGTTGTGGCGGTTTTCGTATCTCAATTGTTGTGAGTACAATGAATCGCTTCTAAGTATAGTGTTGCCACAGTAATCTAGACAGCTCTTGTGTACACGTATGTATCGTTACATATGTGATATTCATGGCTCATAAGATAAGTGAAAGTGTTGAAATGGAGCATTTTCAAGAAAAATGCGTCCCAGCTGAAAAATGTTTAACAGAAAGGGAGCATTTTTACGAAAGTAACTACCATTAAGAAATATATAAAGTAATTACAAAATAAAATTGATCACAACTGAAATTGATCGGCTACTTCTTACTCTGTATTCTGCTGTGTGTGAAGGTTACTAGGTTCAGGCATCGCCCTTCGAGCACTGCAATTCACTGACTATTTGTCTTTCGCGTGTCGCATCCACAATGTGATCTCCCAAACGTGCCGAGACGTGTTTTCGTATCTATACCGCCCCCAAAACACTGAAAATGGTAAATACCTTCAATTATCCACGGTGAACAAAAATTGAAAGGGAGCTCTTTCTATTAGTTTTTTATATTACTATCTATTTTTTTAACAGACCATTCGTTATTTGAATCTATTCATAATTCATATTAATAAGTTGCAATTTTACTCTTCGACGATAATTTTGAATGTTTTGGAGCGTATTTTGATTATATTTAAAGAATATGAAAATTATATTTAACATTTAAAAAAAATGAACAGAAGTGAATATCCTCGATATACAAGAAGTGTTCCATTTAAAATATCATTTTTTAGTTGGTGAAAAAGCGTTTAGGTTTATGAAATCTTTTATTTTTACAGTTAAAAATTTCATAACGATAGTTGACAACAAGCGGTTTATACAAAACGATCGTTTGCTGTGAAATAAGCTGTTCCGTTTGGGATATGGAATAGTTGTGAATCAAACTGTATTTTGAGATATGTACTTTTTCTTGTGTCCCAACAAATTTAGGTAGAATTGATTCGTTGATACCATCCCCTAATACCTGCAGTCAGTAAATGAGGCGACATCGATAATAAAACATGGATGTTACGAAACATTGATGTTCAAAGTTGAAACATCGATGTTAATAAAACATCGGTCAACTATCATCGATGTTTTTAAACAATTTAATATGACAATAGCTGCATTTATTAATTTGTAATTAAGATTTAACTGAAAAAAATAACAATGGATAGAACTGAGCCTGAAAGTGTGTGTGCTCAGGGCCATCTCAGAGTCAGTCCTCTGTTCGCCGAGAAAGGCTACAGGAAGAAGAGGGGAGGCCCTAGAGTGTCTGTATAAAAGCGTGGATTCGACATGGATGTCGCATGCGTCTAGTCAGTGTGCGGCAGTGCTTGAAGGGTAAATATGAGCAAGGTACGCACCTCGGCGAGCGTCTTCTCCAGCTCGTCGCCGGCGGGCGGCCCGCGCGGGGGCGGCGGCGGGGGCGGCAGGCCGGGCGACGGTCGCGGGCGGGATGAGGTCGGTGTCGGCGCCGCTGGACCCTCAAGGTCCTCGTGGCTGATCTCCACGCTGAGGCGTGTGCGGCGGTGTCTCCCGCGCGCTGGCACGGCGCTCCATCGCGCGCCACCCAACTCGGGCGGCGGGGCCTCCTGGCCAGGCGCGCCAGCACCGCCCACCGTGCGACTCGGCGGCGGCGCGGCGGCGGCGGCGGGCCGCGCTCGGGCTGAGTCGGGCCGCCCGCCAGCGCCTCCTCCAGGTCGCGCAGCAGTCGTCGCCACCGCGCGCTTCCCCTCTGCGCAGCTTGCGCAGCTGCTCGTCTCGCTCCTCCTCTCCGGGGCGCTGCGGCGCGGGGGCGGCGGCGCCGGCTCGGGCGCGCCCCACACGGCGTCCGACGCCGCCGCGCGCGGCTCCGCTCCTCGGCGTCACGTCCGACTGCACGCCGTGTCGTCGTGTCACCTGTCGGTGCGCTGCTTGCCCGACAGGGTGACGGTGATGGCCGGCCAGTCCGCGGCGGAGGCGGAGCGGCGGCCGCCGCGCGGGCCTTCTCGGAGTCCTCCGTCTCGCTCTTGTCCACGACGGCCAGCGCCTCGGCCAGCGCGGCCCGGCGTCCGTCGACGCCACCTCCTCGCACGTGAAGAGACACCTCTTCGGGCCAGGGAGAGCGGCAGGCCGGCGGGCCGGGCGGCCACGCGCCGGGACTCGTCCTCTTCGGCCTCGCGCTGGCGGCGCACGGCGGCCTCTGCTTCCGCTCGCTGCCTCTCTTCCTCCGCCAGGCGTTGCGCCTCGGCGGCTTCCTGCTCAAGTCGTCTCTTCTGCTCCTCCTCCTCCCGTTTCCTCTGTTCTTCCTCCTCCTTCTTGCGCCTCTCTTCTTCTAGTCTGAGTTTTTCTTGTTCTTCGGCAAGTCGTTTTTGCTCTGCTTCTTCCGCGAGTCTACGTTTTTCTTCTTCCTCTTTCTTAATCCTCTCCTCCTCCTCTTTCTTTTTCCGCTCCTCTTCTTCTTTCTTCTTCCTTTCCTCTTCCTCGCGTCTCTTTCGTTCCTCCTCTTCCTGTTTGCGTTTCGCCTCTTCTTCTAACCGTTTTCTTTCCGCTTCTAAAGCTAAGCGTTGTTTTTCTTCCTCTTCTCGTTTCAACCGTTCCTCTTCTTCTCGTTTTCGTTTCTCCTCTTCCTCCTTCTGCCTCCTCTCCTCCTCCTCTCGTTTACGCTTCTCCTCCTCTTCTCTTCTCAGTCTCTCCTCTTCCTCTCTCTTTCGTTGCTCCTCGGCTTCGCGTTTCAGTCTTTCTTCCTCTTCAAGTTTTCGTCTCTCCTCTTCCTTTCGTTTCTCCTCGGCCTCCCGCTTCAGTCTTGCCTCCTCCTCTTCGCGTTTGAGCTTCTCCTCGGCCTGGCGCTGCAGCCTCGCTTCCTCCTCCTTGCGCGCTCTCTCCTGCTCTTCGGCCTCTCTGCGTCTGCGCTCCTCCTCCTCCTGTTCCTGCTTCTCGGCCTGTCGTCGCAGGCGTTCTTCCTCGTCCTGGCGCCGGCGCCGCTCCTCGTCCTCCTGCTCGCGGCGCCGCTGCTCTTCCTCCTCGAGGCGGCGGCGCTGCTCGTCCTCGGCGTCGCGGCGGCGCTTGGCGGCGGCGGCGTCATCCTCGCGCTTCTTGCGGCGCGCGTCCTCGTCGGCGGAGGCGTCGAAGGCGCGAGCCATGGCGCGCACGCCCGCGGCGGGGGGCGACGCGGCCGTGGGCGTGGGCAGCGCCTTCGCCTCGGGCTCCGACTCCTCGATGCGCTCGTCCAGCTCGTTGTGGAAGATGTCGGAGTGGATCTGGCGCGACACCAGGCGCTCCGTGGTGGCGCGCGCGGGCACGGCCGGCGCGGCCGACGCGCGGCGCAGGGCCTTGTGCTCGGGGGACGGCTCCGCTTCCTCCTCCTCCAGCTGCAACGCGCATTCATTCTTACCTTCCACAATTCATGTTACGAACGTGAAAGGTCGAACATGATCACTTTTAACCAACGAGCATACGGCGGGAAAAAAACATTCAACAAAGTTACACTAGTGGAATTTTCCCTTTATTTGCATGCCACTCATTGTATGGCGAGTATCCGAAATCTCTTTGAATAGGAGGGATGCCTATTAACGAGGTCAAATGTCATCTGTGGTTTAGTTATATGATATTTTCCACCAAATGATCACAGGCAAAAAGTGATCTTTTTCGACCTCCAACATGCCTCAATGTTTTGGCACACTCTGCCCGTGTCACACTCCGAGAACAGAGACATTAAAAAATATTATTTTGAGGTTATAAAACAATCAATTTGTTGATTGAACTATTTTGTGTATCGTGACGGAGATTTGAGAAATAACTCAAGATTTATTTTTAGTGATAAAAATAAATTCCCATTTAACAATTTTAAAAACATATGACGCGATGTTCCTTGTAATTATAAAAATGCACTCTATTGTCATTTTACTTCAAATATTAAGTGGAACATCATATGGCGTCTTGGTACCTCTGAAAACAATGATCTTAACAAGTTATTTTTTCTCAAATCTCCGTTGTTTATCAAATTACACCTTATCAAATTACATCTTCAGCAAATGAATGTTGCATTCGCGTTGCAACCGAGAATCCGCCATAAAAGTTGCTATTATGAAACAGATGTAAATTATTGTAATACTGCCTGCCCATCCACTATCTCTTGCATTGTGAATGTGGGTCTTAACTATCCTCTTTCACTGATGTAATACCTGAATGAAGCGCCATTGAATTATTTTATCTTATAATATCCATCCACAGATATTGTCTCTTTAAACTGAATTATTTGCTCGCGTAATTTGCCTCTTTGTTCTATGACAGCCGAAAAAGCAAATATATATTATTAATAAATGTAAAAACGTCCAGATGTACAATAATTTTGTACAATAATCATTTAACTGTCAAAGATTAAACCAAGATACATATTTTATCAGCCTTTGTTATTAATGCTCTTCGTCTGGGTGTCTTTTTTGGTTGAGTATCAACACTAACACACTTTTAATGTCTTAAGTTTATGAGCATGTTTATAAACAATTGTAAATCGATTTACATTAGTACGTATTCAAAACGATTGGACTATGATTTGGGGCCCTTACGTGTGATTCATATTTAAAGTTATTTAGGTAAATGTATGTGAATCTATACTGAAGTCATTTTAACATAATACATTGCGTTAATTCAATTGACGGGGTCGGGGGAACATAGTGCTAACCGACATGTCTATAATATTTGTCAATCACAGGAAAAAGAGAGGTTTGGTAGAAGCTTTTTTAAATTTTGTATTTATACTTCTGGCTGCGTTCTAGTTCTGAGAGTACGTTTGTTCAGCATTCCGATCATGACTGTTTTTAGGAAGCAGTTTAAGACTTTTGGTTTGCATTTACGAAGTGAGGGTCAGCACTGTCTCGTCCCGCTCCATTAGATAGCCTGTGAAGATGGCGTGGCGCTCACCTCCGGCGCGGCGCCGGGCCGCATCTGCGCCTCGAAGTAGCGCTTCTTGTCGCGCACGCTGGCGATGGCGGGGTCGAGGTCGCAGGCGGGCAGCGACGCGGAGCGCTCGTGTCGCCGCAGCGGCACGGGC